ACTTGAGACTTACTTGAGACTTGCAAGACAATGACTTGGTCCCACCTCTGCTGCATTCAATAAGATGCCACACAAATTATTTGTGCCACTCCAAAAAAATAATTTCTGTCCACTATAAAGGAGAACATCACAGCCTGACACCTGCAGACAGCAGTCGCCTCATTGTTTTGACATACAACACAAAACTATCCACAACACTACACACTAACTACACAAGACAGCACATTAACTACACACTCCAAACATGCTAAATGTCACAAATCTCTCACATCTCAAAACTCGCTCTCTCTCTCTCTTTCTGCTCTCTCTCACTCTCTCTCTTGCCGTCACTCCTAAAACTTCCCCCTCTTCCTAAACAACCAAATGTCATGTTGCCATATTATTTTTTGATTGGTCAACATGGTGCATTTTTCCACCAACACGAAAGGGCTGGGGAGGGGGGTTTGGTCACAAGCAGAGAGTGCTTGCTAGCGCTGTCCTTAGACAGTAAACGTGATGAAACTATTGAGGAAAAACACGGGTATATATTGTTTATCATGACTCTGGTTTTACGTGGCCTATCAACACAATTTAAAAACTGGTATATATCACCTTGTTGCTTTGTCATCTTGAAGTGGTCATGTGATTGGCTTACCACGACTACTTTATTGTTCCTCAGCCAAACAGCAGCACTCAAGCGATTGTTTTGCCCCCTTAGCTCTGGGTGTTGTGCTAGAAAGTGATTGTCTGGCAGAAAGTGATTTCCATCCGCGGGAGCGCGCACAGCTTAAAGCTGTAGCGCCCAGATTACTTACGTAGTCAGCTACTTCCGTGCAACTGATATAAGGTGCGTAAGCTGAACACAGCTTCAATCGTCTGTTTGTTGAAAAATAGTAACGCGACCGCATTTTCTTGGTAACGGCATTGTAACGATACCGTTGTAACGATAGGAATAGTAATTAGTTAGATTACTCGTTACTGAAAAAAGTAACGCCGTTACTTGTAACGCTGTAATTCCCATCACTGGTAGTGGCAGATCTAACCTGACATGTAAGATGTGGAAAAGCATAGATTGCAAAACCTGTATAATGAATAAAATGTTATTGGCATTTATTTCTTTTGTTTTTCTGTGTGAGTCCTAAATCATTGCCACAATAATGGGTCCTAAAACTTGGGCAACAGGATGTGAATAAAAACATCAACATGGTCTAGAGCAGATATACCAATTCTTACTGGAATTGAAGCATATTTATGCTCCCTTAGTCACAAGACTTTGCCACAGTGGATAGCTTTGCATTTGATTGTATTTTACACTGGATGCTCTTCCAGAACTCGAGGGATAAAGCCAGAGATCTTTTCAGTTATTAGTGAATGTGAAAACTACTACGCTTCAGGGAAACATAAATGTACTTTTCCATCTCTTATTCCCAGGAAAATAAGTATGCTTCACAGTCCAGAATGGATTCTTACTGAATGCCAAATGAAAATCAGTACACTGAGCTCTTTCAGGGTTGGACTAACTCTCTAAGCAGTGGAAAGTGAACCCACCCCAACTTTTAATCCATACGCAGTTTCAGCACAGACACCTTTTTGATGATTCAAGAGACAAAACGTAAACCAAAGAAATTACTAGATAGTCTGACATCATACAATATTAAGCAATTTTATTGCATAATCAGTGTTACATGTTTCAGTTACGTCTTTCTCATGCACAACTACATTCAACCATGAAAGTAAACTGCATGCCAAGACCTGACCTGAAAAGCATTCCCAGGGTGTTCAAGGTTTTCATTTATTTAGTTCGTCATCGGCTTAAGTTTCATGGAGGTGGTGTGGAAGGTGTGCGCACAAAATAGTATAATTACTGTAGAACAGCCATTAGTCAAATTAAAGGGACGTGCCACTGTCATGTCACCTGATTTTATGAAGTCCCAATTTTGAAGCCTTGCCCAGAAAAACACAGTTATCTTAGCTTTCTGAAACTAGGCTTAATAACCAATCTCTCAGTTGCATATCACTAAAATTCATACTCCTTTTAGACTCTAATTAGAATCATCATTTAGAAAATGAACAATCTGTTGTATTTAATTAGAGATGGAACTAGCGAAAAAGAACCTGGATCAGCATGTTGCCTTATCCAGACTTATTATTTACACAAATTAGATAGCACTATAAAATACACTTAGGATATTCAGAAACACGCTAATAATTCAAAGGAAACAGAATGTAATGCACTGCAGCATCATATTATCCTATGTGTGTGTTTGTGTGGGTGGTTTTTTGAACAGGGAGGAAATGGTTCATCTAGTTTGTGTAATGTAAACTGGGTGAACTGGGGCTGGGTGTGACAGCCGGTTTAAAATAAATCAGGGCTCAACCACCTGTCAGTGTGGTGCTGAGTCCCAGCCAGAGAGCTTCTCATTGTACCTGAACTGCTGTGGAAAGTCTAGAAAGATGACATCGGAGACCAAACAGTCAAGTAAGTACATTAACTTTTAGACATATATTAACTGAAGTTTATCATCATATCTTTAAGGGCTTAATGTATTCTGATTTAAATTAAATTGTTTAATTTAAATAATAACAGTTAAATAGTCTTGTCAAAAGCAGGATTGCATTTGACAAGAGTTTTAGAAAAGTTTGCACCTATTTCAAAGTTTTTATAGAGTTAAAATAAAATCGTGTTATTCACTTAGCTTGCATGACCTCGGTTCTCCCAGTTTCTAGAAATCTTACTTGCAGGTGCTGGCAAATAGAAATGAATGCCTTACAACAACAGTCTTCAGAAAGTACATGCCAGAGAATGTTGTGTGAAAAGCTCACATTGACACATTAAACAGGATTTTTGCAGTTTATTCTCTTTACATACACGACAACATGTCTGTGGTCATCATGGGTCAACCTGGAAATTCAAATATATGTTTTGCAAGTTGAAGTTAATCCAAAGTTTCAGATTCAGGCCAGTTTGGCAGAAAATTTAGTTCAGGAAATCTGGAACACCTTCTAAATTTGATCGATGCCCCCATAATCAGTTCGAGTTTCGTACTCAAGTGCCCATTACATCGACGTAAGAGCAGTTGTTTTTGAATCATATAGTAGATTGTTGTGGTTATGTTTGTTTTTTTTATTCGGAAGGCATCTATAAATAATCATAAATATCAAAATATTAATGCGCGTGATGTTTTGCCTCCCATCCAGGACCACCTCCAATATGTGACACCCTCCATCAGATTGTTTTAGAACTATAGAAACATCTTCAAACCTAAAAAAGTTTAGTTGCCATATTTTCCGGCACTCGAGTGACATTATCTGCACAAACTGGTGCAAATAAAATATACAGTATACAAATACAGTGACATGTTTCAGGATTAATAGATTTAAAAAAGATCAATATTGAAGACAGGCCAGTTTCAAAAGATAAACACATCGTCTTTGTGGGTTTCAATTGTGCAGTGCAGACAGATGTAAGGCAAATGAGATTCTAGAAGGAACAAAGTAACATTTAGCAGCTCTGGAAACTGTTTGAATTAAAGATCTAAAATTTTAAGATATCAATGAGACTGTGTTAGAAATATAAATATGAACTTATGCAAACTTGTAGGCACTGCAAAAAAAAAAAATGTATGTGAAAATATTTAGAAAGCGTTCACAGACTGACTTTAATGTCACAGACAGCCAAAACTTTGTATAGATATTAAGGAGAGGTCCCTTAAATGCATTCCCTCTCTCAGGCTTTTCAGTGTGTATTTCAGGCCAACCTTCATGTATGTTTAGGAAAAAAAAATGTGTATAAATTTCTCTACCCAAGGGGAGAACTCTACATGCTGTAGATTTATAAGTTTAATAAATCTAAAGAAAGTTTATAGTTTTGGGGTTTTTTTCTTACTGTACACCCTTGTTAAAAATGTGAGTAATAGTGACAAAATGTAGACAGTTAACTACAATATGAAAGCAGGTGTGTGCATTTTTCCCTCCCTCACACACACCCAAACCAAACTCACCCACCACGAAATCTAAAAAACGTCATCTCTCCTAACAAAAAGTTATAAATTCACTTTTCATTTCAAACACACTGAGAACCTGTTCAATTTTGTTTCCTAACATTAAAATTAAAAGTTTGACTGTGAAAAGTACTTCTCATATCAATATAGAAAAAGACAAAGTGTTAAGATAGTCTCTCCAAACCTCACTATTTTGTGCTTAAGTGTTTTTATGAATTGTGTCTCAGTTTTCCATGTTACTTGTCAGTGCAGTGCTTTTCTATGGATTCACCTGTTCTCCTGAACATACCCGTAGGCCTTAAATGTGAGGTTTGTGTTTTGTTTTGTTTTTATTACCATGCTGTTGGGGTTTGGTCGAGACACGAGCATTGTGTTCATCACTGATTCTGCCCTGTTGAGGCATGCCCAATCCATGCATATTTTTCCTGACATGTAACTTCAACTTTGTGACGTTTGGATGACTCTCATGACAGTGTTTAAATAGTTTTATCTCCACCCTGCCTTGCCCTGGGTTCCTGTCACCAAATTGCTAGATAGAATTGAGACTTTTGACAAGCTGAGGCAGTTTTTTGAGGTGAATCGAGGTCACTAAAATCTTCATCTATTTTAGCATGGAGAAGGTATCGGTGTAGCAAGCTTAAAGCCTTTTGCATCCTTCAGTTGCAAATCTTTCCAGGAAACCAAGTTAAAATGTATCAGGAGACGACAGATATGGGTCTTTTTCTTTTATTTTTTGTTTGTTTGTTTTTTAAAGTGTCATGCCATTAAAAATAAGTTTATTAAAATAAAGACTTCACTTTGTGACCTGACTTTCAGATATTTTTGTTCACAGTTAACATTTCTATATTTTATTTTACATTTCTTGCAGTTTTTAAAGGAGTGAATCTCAACTGTGAGACAAACAACACAGAACATGGCACCAAAAAAATCTCAAAGGATCAGCTGATTGTGAGGCGAGGCCAGCGGTTCACCGTGAAAGTTGAACTGACACAGCCGTTCAACCCCGATCTTTACCCGCTCACCTTTACAGCAGTAACAGGTTGGTCCACCATTAAATAATGTTTTTTTGTTTGGTTTTTTGTAAAAAATGCAAACATATTCTATGTAAACCCTCCCAAGTTAAATCCTTATAATAAAAAATATGTCCAAAGTGTACAGAAGATGCTGTTTGATGGGCGCTGAACAAACATTTACTGACCCAAAGCTGTTGACTAGGGCTGTCACCGTTAATCACCGTCAATTAACGCCAACACCACGTTAACTCGGCATATCTCCGTTAACGGGTTAATGCGGATCACCCTTTGTGTTGGGCTGGACTGCGTCAACGGGTTAGCGCGGGTAGCTTGATTAACGTATTAGCGCAGTGTTGGCGAGTAACGGAATACATGTACAAACGTTGCGTATTTAAAATACAAAATATGAGTAACTGTATTCTGTTACAGTTACCGTTTAAAAAGGTGGTGTTACTCTGTTGAAATAAATGGATTACACGGCGGTCTTTTCCTGTTTCATATGTTAGGCTATGCCCTCTCTGTCCTTGGTAATTCTAAGCCAGTGGAAACCCAAACAAAACACGCATTAAAAGGCTCTAATGTCTGTGTCTCAATCTCGCGGGCCATGTCACCTCTACTTGCTATCCGCATAATGATATGACGAAATATTTTTTTTAATTATTGTTCAAAAATTATTTAATATGAAGGCAATAGGCACAGTGTTACAGGCATAGCCCTAAACAATGTAGCTTCATGGGCAGTATTAGCCAGTTGTAAGTAAGCTATTAAGACTCTATTCTACACCGTGTTCGTGTTTTCCTCCGAAACAACAAGTTCCGTTGGAGCAGCCTTTCAACGCCTCTCTCTGTCTCTCGCTAGCAAAGTCGACCCAGACAACAAAGTAAAGCTAGTTTTCGGCTATGAACTCGACACGGAACCTGACGTATTAGCCAGAGGACCTGTTTTATATACACGAAAAACAGTTTTCTATACGAGATCGTTGCAAAAAGCGCAGCCTTACCTAATGTCCACCCTACTGTTACTCATTTTATATTAAGATTTAAAAATCTAGTTGGTATTGGTATGGCGAGTAACCTTCAGTAATAGTAATAAATCACACAGCAATAGTACATTCATG